TACTTGGGAGACTAAGGTGGCAGAATCACTTGAGCCCAGGAGTTTGAGGCTGCAGTGAGCTGTGACCATGTCGTTGCACCCTAGCCTGGGTGACAGACCGAGACGCTGTCTCTCTTAAAAACAAAAATACAGACTTGGAAAAAGAAACATGTTAGGGCGGCTAGGTTATTGCTTAAAAAATTAAAGAATGGTGATAACTAGTGTCAGACCTACTACGTCAACAGAATGAGTTACGTCTAACCTCCTTGGTCCTTCGAGCCTGCTACATGAATTTTTCTAAAAATCAACTCTATACGTGTAAGCCAAAGGCTAAAACCAATGACTTGTCACTAATACAAAAACAGGAGTCTTGGGTAGATCTACAGGCCCTGGCTTTCCAGTTCTGCTCTGACACTTGCCTGTATACTCTCTATTCCTGCACGCTGGTCCATCTGAGTACAGCTCTTAGCCCACCCCCACTTCTGTGTCTTGCCAGCTGCTTGACTCTCCATCTGGAATGATGATTCTCCCTTACTTCTACCAGCTGAAATTCTCATTGCTTCACAGTCCAGCTCAAATTTCACTTTCTCCATGACACTTGTTTCTTTCACTCTGAACAAACTTGTCCTTCCTCTATATTCTCTCAATACTTTTTTCCTGATTCTGGTATGCAGTTTCCAAATTTTGTTTTTTATGATTACTATGCATGTCTCTAAGTGTTTCCCTCATTAGATGAGAAGCATCTCCAGTGCAAGGCCTCTGTATAGTTCTTCTGTGTGTCCATCACAATGCCGGCTCTAAAAAGGTACTCAGTAAATGTATTGTGGTGAACTACTCCAAGGAAAACACTCAGACTAACTGCTGACAGTTCTTAACAACTGAGGACAAGTAATCATAAACTTAAATTGAGTTAGCAATTTGTTAGACAAAAAATTTTGATTTAACCCTGAAATATATAAGGCTGTGGAATCATCCCAGACAGCCTGTTTATTTTATTTTATTTTATTTTTTGGGTTGGAGTCTCACTCTGTCGCCCAGACTGGAGTGCAGTGGCCGCTCCCGGCCACCGCAGCCTCGACCTGCTGGGCTCCGGCGATCCTTCCGCCTCAGCCTTCCAAGTAGCCGGAATTACAGGCATGCGCTACCACGCCCGGCTGATTTTTTTATTTATTGTAGAGATGAAGTCTTGCTGCCCAGGCGGGTCTCGAACCTATGGGAGACTGTTTATTTTAAAGTCTTAAGTTCCTTCTGCAGCTTTGAGATATGTATCAGTAGGAGACAAAAAGACAACAGATCTGGTGGCTTTGGAAGGCAGAGGTTCATTAGGGATGCTGGATGTTGATCATGTTAAAGTGACAGCATCACCAATCCAACCAACCACCTGCCTAAAACATAATCCCAGAACACCTGAGTACCAGTCAGAAAGCATGCAAAGCAATGAGGCTGATGAATGGATCAACTCAAGCACCTGTGCTGTTTACCTGTATAAGATGACATATTCATGGCCTTGCTTTCTGGAGAGTCTGTAGGCTGGTGTCACTCTGGTTATAGCAAGAAGGGACTTCAACAGCAGTGACAGTCTGTTGTACACCGTGTAGGAAACTTTGATTTCTTTATCACACCTGAGGAGTGCACAGACACCGTCAGCATTCTCTTAAGTGCTGGAGCGACACAAGACCAAATTTAGTATTAAAACATGTCCCAAACTAAAGATGTAATTAGAGTTCTTTGTCAGTTTATCAACAGACTGCTGAGATAAGTCAAAGTTTACTTTCTCATGCACCAGACACAGGCAGATGAACACCAAAAGACACCCAGTATATTTTTGCTAGCTTTGAAACAAAGCAGCACATTTGAAAACGATAAGTCATCATTACAATTATATATACTGAAGGTGCAAACATAATTGTACTATTTTATAAGCCATCTACCTCTATAACCTAAGAGAAAATCTAGAAATCTGTTTGGCACTAAAATCTTGGACCATAACCTGGCAATTGCTTTTTATTTAAGAAAGAACAACACCACATACTTATCACTAAGACTTTTTTTTTTTTTTTATGTGTTGGTATTTCCTCAATTATTCTATATACTCTTCTTGAAAACTGAAGCTTCAGGCAGGAGGTAAGCTAATCTGCCTTGAGAGAAGAAAATGGGGGAGGCAAGTAACACGCATTTCCAATCCATGACCAACAAAGTCTGTAAAAAAGGAGCAGTAAGGGAAAATCTTATTGGATAGCTGCTACACAGAAAATAGACAAAATAGAGTAGTCATGTTACAAGAGCTCGCAAGGGATTTAATCAGAGAACTATCTGTACTCTGGGAAAACAACAATCCTTTTCAGCCTTCTCTGCTGCTCCTATCCCTGTGGTGTCTGAGTCTCTCTGTACTGACACTCCCTCTGAAGGTCATCTCTGTGTCTAGGCTAGAAGCCAAGCATGAAGCAAACTGTAGAAAAGACCTATTGGCTTTGTTAAGTGGTCAGAATACCCTCCATGACTCTGAAAACAAAGCCCTATTTTTCACATGATGTCATCTGCTTTATCCTCAGCAGCCACAACCAGAACACAGTACTTACTTTTCGTTCATTTCAAGACACCATATTTCCAGTTCCATGGAATCTCCCTGTAGATGGGACAATTTACAAATAATTCAGTTTTTAAAAATTACTTTTAATTACAAAGTACTACATAGTCACCATAAAAAATTGGAAGATAGAGATAAGCAAAAAGAAAAAATGGATATCAACTTATAATCGAACTAGACTCTTCTAAGTATAAGTAGAATCACAGCCGGGCTCGGTGGCTCAGCCTGTAATCCCGTGCCTTTGGAGGCTGAGGTGAATGGACTGCCTGAGCCCGTGGGTTCGAGATCCACCTGGGCAGTGAGACCTCATCTCTACAATAAATCAAAAAGTCAGCCGGGCGTGGTAGTGCATGCCTGTAAGTCTGGCTACTTGGAAGGCTGAGGCGGAAGGATCATGGGAGCCCAGCAGGTCGAGGCTGCCGTGGCTGGAAGCGGCCACTGCACTCCAGTCTGGGCGACAGAGTGAGACTCCAACTCAAAAAAAATAAAAATAAAAATAAATAAATAAATAAATAAACACACCATAAGGCCAGGCATGTTGGCTCATGCCTATAATTCCAGCACTTTGGGAGTCCAAGGTGAGAGGATTGCCTGAGCCCACGGGTTCAAAACAAGCCTGGTCAACTTGGCGAGTCAGCTCTACAATAAAACAAAAACTTAGTCGGGCATGGTGGCTCATGCCTGTAATTTCAGCTACTTGGAAGACTGAGGTGGAAGGATCATCTGAGCCCAGCAGGTCAAGGCTACGGTGGCTGTAAGCGTGCCACTGGACTCCAGCCTGGGCGACAGAGTGAGACTCCAACTCAAAACAAAACAAAACAAAGAAACAACACACCATTAAATTTTCCTGGCCGGGCGGGGTGGCTGATGACTAACTATAATCCCAGCACTTTGGGAGGCTGAAGTGAGAGGATTGCCTGAGCTGAGAGGATTGCCTGAGCCCATGAGTTCGAGACCAGACAGGGCAACTTGGCGAGACCTCATTTCTACAAAAAAATCAAAAAATTAGCTGGGCATGGTGGCACATGCCTATACTCCTAGCTACTTGGAAGGCTGAGGAGAAAGGATCAACTGAGCCCGGAAAGTTGAGGCTGCAGTGGCCATGAGCGTACCATTACACTCCAGCCTGGGTGGGCAACTCACCAACTTGCCCAGGCTGGTCTCGAACCCCTGAGCTCAGGCAATCCTCTCACCTCCACCTCCCAAAGTGCTGGGATTAAAGGCTTGAGCCACCACACTCGGCCTAAAATTTTCCTTATAATTAAACATTCAAAATAATTTTTAATGGTTGTATAGTATTATACCATGTGACTATCATTTTATCCAACCAGTCCCCCTACTCTTGAACATGCAGGTTGTTTCTAATTTTTACTACCAGAAACAAACAACACTGAAATAAACAGCCTTGAGACTAACACTTTGTACACATCCTCAATTAATTTCTTCCAGCAAATTTCCAGAATTAGAATTGCTGATCAAAGAGTATATATATTTTCAAGACTTTGGACATGTATCTCCAAAATGTCCTTCATAAAGGCCAGCATTTTTAAGATGAGGGAAAAAGTATTTCTGTCTAATTCTATGGGGGATATTTTTAGGTGACACCCACAGTTTAGAAAAGCTTGTATCTTAACTACCTCCTTCTTTAAAAAACATTTAGTTGCTTGAGGTCTTGAGCTGAGCTGTTCAGCCAATCTATGTGTTATTCTGAACAGACTTAGCCTAGTGGATGGGGAAAACAAAGAAATTACTAAAGCCAGAATTCCTCAAACTTGTAACTCTCCTGTGTGTCACCTGGTAAGAAAAACAGTTACATACCTTTCAACACAAGTCAGCTTTTAACTAAGTTATTGGAAAAGAACTATTTTCTTAGGTTTGGAAGTAAGCTTGAGTTAGTTTTTGGAAAAGATAACTGACTTCCACTTATTCAAGATCAAATTTAAATATGTATCCTTATCATATATCCTTGCTATCACACTGTCCTTTTTCCTTCTAACACTGTCATTTTTAAATGACATCATGAATTTTAAATGTCCCCCCCAAAACCAAAGAATAACTAGCTATCGGGGTGTACTCAAGACAAGCAGATGTGGTTTCTCTAGGACAATCAGAACAGTTTATAATCAAACTTCACTCATGCTTGGGAGAGGAAAGTTTCTCTAGGGATTCCTTTTAGAACTCCTATAGAGCAGGGCTCAGTGGCTCAGCCTGTAATCCCGCGCCTTTGGGAGGCTGAGGTGAGTGGATTGCCTGAGCCCGCAGGTTCGAGACCCGCCTGGGCAACTTGGCGAGACCTCATCTCTACAATAAATCAAAAATCAGCCAGGCGTGGTAGTGCGCGCCTGTAGTTCCAGATACTTGGAAGGCTGAGGCGGAAGGATCGCCAGAGCCCAGCAGGTTGAGGCTGCAGTGGCTGGGAGTGGCCACTGCACTCCAGTCTGGGTGACAGAGTGAGACTCCAACTCAAAAAATAAAAATAAAAAGAACTCCTATGGATCACTAAGGAAAACAATTCACAGTTTAAACTGGTAATTCAATAAAGAAGAATAAGAAGTGTTGATTGGTAGTAAGATTTCCACAGAATATTGATACCATTCATTCGTTAAAAATCTTGAAAGCCTACAATATGCCATCTCAGGCATTATGCTGGGTCCTGAGGACACAGAGGTGATTATTAATTTATATCCTGTCTCTTTTCATAAAGAACTTGAGAATTACAAAGATATATAAGATGTGGCATAGCTGACCTCAAAAAGAAAAGCGGTTAGAGTAGAAGTAGGACATGTGCTGATTGCCTACTATGTGTATGTTAGGAACCTTACAAATAAGGATTTAATGAAAAAATACTATAGCCCTGCAAAATGTGAAGCACTGTGGTCTGGTAGTACTAGTAGGGGTGGGGCTAAGTGATTTGGCTAAAGTCATTTAGCGGGGATCTGAACTTGGCCCTGTGTAGTTCCAAACCCCATTTAACTTTCAACATACCAGATACCCTCATAAATTATTAGTGGAAATAGATTAGTAAATATACAAGCAACAATATCTGCCTCAATCCCAATATGAAATAAGGTGAGCGAACACATTTTAAAAAATCACAGTACAGGCCGGGCATAATGGATCATGCCTGTAATCCCAAAACTTTGGGAGACGGAGATGAGAGGATTGCCTGAGCCCAGGGATTCAAGATCAGCCTGGGCAACTTCGCAAGACCTCATCTCTACAGTAAATAAGAAAAAGTAGCTGGGGGTGGTGGTGCACACCTGTAGTTCCAGCTACTTGGAAGACTGAGGCAGAAGGATCACCTGCATCCAGCAGGTCAAGGCTGTGGTGGTCATGAGCGTGCCACTACATTCCAGTCTGAGAGACAGAGTAAGACTCTGATTCAAAAAAAAAGGAGGCAGAGGCAAGAGGACTGCCTGAGCCCAGGGTTTGAGACCAGATTGGGCAACTTGGCGAGACCTCATCTCTACAATAAATCAAAAAATTAGTTGGGCATGATGGAGTGCACCTGTAATTCCAGCTACTTGGAAGGCTGAGGCGGAAGGATTGCCTGAATCTGACACATCGAGGCTGTGGTGGCTGTGAGTGTGCCACTGCACTCCAGCCTGGAGAACAGTGAGACTCCAACTCAAAAAAAAAAAAAAATCACAATATAGCAAGCTATATCTCAAAACACATATAAACAAAGCACTGTAGGAAACAAAGGTAAAGACAGCAGTTATCGCTCCCCATTTAAAAAGGGGATTTTTTTTTTTCTTCAAGTAACTGGGCTTATTTGTTCAAGAGAAAAAAAAATCTTTAGTCTCTTGCTGTTTCTGCCTATAGAGCCAGACAGAGTTAGGAGCATGGGGAGTCTTTCCTTTAGAGAAAGTCAAGTCATGCATGGGCTTGGAGTTTCCATCAGATGGGACCCAGTGCTGAATCCAGTGACTAGAGTCTAGCTGGTAAAGGGTAAATGCTCCAAACCTTTATGCCATGTGGTTTCCACAAAGGCCTCAGGTGTACAATTGTCTTGTCTTAGCCACATCCCTGTTTGTTCCTTCCACAAGGGGGAAATTTTCTAGAGCACATGAATATTTATTTTATTATTTTATTTTATTGCAGTTGTGGGGTACATGTAAGGGTTTAACTATGTAAGTAAATTGTGTGCAGGTGAGGTTTGGCTTCTGGCAAGCCTTCCCTGCCCCTGGTAGTGGACCTGATAGCTAGTGTGTAGAGTACTTGAGTCTTGCAGGATAAGTAGAAATATGTCATATGAACAAGAGAACCAAGATCCTATTCTATGCAGTTGGAATAACAAATTAAAAAACCGTGACACAAGGAAAAAAAAAGAAAAAAAAAACAAACCATGAGGCTGTGATCACAGCACTTTGGGAGGTGGGATGAGATGACTGTCAGAGGGGTGGGGTTAAGTAATTTGGGCAAGCCCTGCTGAGTGGCTCAGCCTATAATCCCAGCACTTTGGGAGGCTGAGGTGAGTGGACTGCCTGAGCCCGCAGGTTCGAGACCTGCCTGGGCAACTTGGCGAGATCTCATTTCTGCAATAAAATCAAAAATTAGCCGGGCATGGTAGCGCGCACCTGTAGTTCCAGCTACTTGGAAGGCTGAGGCGGAAGGATCACCAGAGCCCAGCAGGTCAAGGCTGCGGTGGCCAGGAGTGGCCACTGCACTCCAGTCTGGGTGACAGAGTGAGACTCCAATTCAAAACAAAAAAAGTAATTTGGGCAACTTGGCAATACCTCATCTCTACAATAAATCAAAAAATTAGCCGGGCATGATGGCATGTGCTTCTAGTTCCAGCTACTTGGAAAGCTGAGGTGGAAGGATCACCTGAGCCCAGCAAGTCGAGGTTGTAATAGCTGTGAGCACGCCACTTCACTTCAGCCAGGGCAACGGAGTGAGATTGTGACTTAAAAAAACAAACAAGCTGGGCTCGGTGGCTCAGCCTGTAATCTCGCGCCTTTGGGAGGCTGAGGTGAATGGATTGCCTGAGCCCACGGGTTCGAGACCCGCCTGGGCAGCGAGACCTCATCTCTACAATAAATCAAAAAATCAGCCGGGCGTGGTAGCGCATGCCTGTAATTCCGGCTACTTGGAAGGCTGAGGCGGAAGGATCGCTGGAGCCCAGCAGGCGAGGCTGCGGTGGCCAGGAGCGGCCACTGCACTCTAGTCTGGGCAACCGAGTGAGACTCCAACTCAAAACAAACAAACAAACAAACAAAACAAAAACCATGACCACTTCAGAGAATAAGTTTAGAGAGGGAAGGGGCAGGAATAAGGCTGAGAAATGAACTGGACTCAGAGCATCAAGTTAAGACACCATCCTGGCCATAACCTTACCTCAGAAGTCTTGAGTGAGATCTCCACACACATAGACCTCCCAACAGCAGGCAGCTGCCCTGCCAGTGCCTTCTTTGCTTCATGAGTAACCTCTGGGATGTCTTTGATTGCTAAGTTAAACTAGAAAACAAAAGAAACTTTTGCATGAAACAACAACAAGGAACATTATGGAGAGATAAATTAGTGTGCTGGGTAATGCAGGCATTGCTTTGGCTGACTCAGGAAGACATTCACTCACTTTTCCCTTCCCTTAAGAGATAGTCCCGCATCAAAGCCCCAAATCTCAGGTTGAACAGCTATTACAAAGATTAGCTAATAAGATATTACGTTTATCTTCTAAGGACTACACTTTTCAAGTATTACAGCAGAAAGTTAAGAACCAAATAAATTCAGGACTAATATTCAATAAGAATATTCTTATCAGAAAATGGATATAATATGTAGTAATATAAATAGTATTCCTTATTACTGCACATGAGAACTTTACGTTCATTCCTATGACAAACACCACAGTATACACCTTAGCAGAAAACAGAATTTTACCCAGTCAGAACCCGTTGGGGAGGAAGAAGAACGAGTGCAAATCTTTTCACCAAGTCGAGCCTGGACAATCACTTGGACAGTCTAAAAAAAAGCAAACAAACACGGAAGTCTAAATAAATGGATATGTCTCCTGATCAGGGTTAGAATCCTCCCAATACAGTGTTAAAAAGATTATAATTAATCATAACTATACTTTAGGAAAGGGTGGAATTTTAAATGTTCAAGGACAGATATAAAAAATCACTACATGTGAAAAATAATACTGTAAACATTCCTAAGGGTACAGTGTCAACCAATGAAAGGAATTACAGTTTGAGGTTTGAAATCTGTAATCTTTTCTTTTCTTTTCTTTCTTTTTTATTTTTTTGAGTTAAAGTCTCACTCTGTCACTCAGGTTGGAGTGCAGTGGCACAATAACGACCACTGCAGCTTTGACCTGTTGGGCTCAGGTGATCCTTCTGCCTCAGTCTTTCAAGCAGCTGGGACTACAGGCACATGCCACCTACCATGGTCAGCTCATTTATTCATTTATTGTAGAGACGAGGTCTCGCCATGCTGCCCAGGCTGGTTTCGAACCCCTGGGCTCAAGCAATCCTCTCAACTCCGCCTCCCAAAGTGCTGGGATAACAGGTGTGAGCCACCATGCCCGGCCTGGAATCTGTAATATTTTCTTTTATTTTGAGTCGGAATCTCATTCTGTCTTCCAGGCTTTATTGCAGTGGCACGCTTATGGCCACTGCAGCCTCAACGTGCTGGGCTCAGATGATCCTTCCGCCTTAGCCTTCCATGTAGCTGGACTACAGGAGCGTACTACCATGCCCGGATAATTTTTATTTATTGTGGTGATGAGTTGCCCAGGCAAGTCTCGAACCCGTGGGTTCAGGCAATCCTCTCACCTCGGCCTCCCAAAGTGTAGGGATTATAGGCATGAGCCACTGCGCCCGGCCTTGTAATATTTTCATATGACAGAAGAAAAGCTGCACATGGTGGCTATGAAGTTCATAATGAAACAAGTCCAACTGTGGTTTTAAATATGCCTTGCCACCAACTTATGCTATCAAGGTAGATTTAAAACAAAAACTCCACAGTTATTCCTATCATTTGGCCCATATGACAGAAATCTTCCACATAATTTTATAACTAAAATCAATGACATGGATTGTTCTAGCATGACAATGGTTGAGAGGAAGGAGTGATATAGGTGGAAATGATTTTCAGATTTAGAAAAATACAGCATTTAAAATTCAGCTTTATTTCCCCCTTTAGTAGGAAGGGAACAAGACATAAAAGTTGGACGTTTCAGGGTTAGTTAAAGCTTAAGAAAAGATGTCCAAAAGATTGCCCATTCTAGTTTATGGTCTTTGTTCCCACCCCAAGGGAACATACTGTGCCAATAACCTGGCATAACAGTTTGACATTTCTGCAACAGCCTTGCAAAAAAATTTTTGAACAAGTAGCTGTGGAAAATTGGAAGCTACTTTTTAGCTACACCCCCAATACCGCCCCCATACCTCACAGTTTAGTTTACAACAGACAGAAGTATCCCTTAAAATGGGCAAGCTGCAAGCTGTTATGCTACATTTCCAAAGAGGGTTGTTCTCAAAAGGGAGAAGCATGGAAGTTATTTCTAACAGTTCTAGGCTCCAGAGAATGTACATATTACCTTGAGGGCAAAAAATTTAATAAACTTGTCCAGGTCCTTCCTGTCTTGGGAATTGAGATCAGTTTCCATTGCCTATAGGAATCTAAAACAGAAAAAAAGTGATAAAAAAATGTGACTAATGTCTTTAAAAGGGGATTGTTACATCAAAGCATACAGAGATGGTATTGTCTACTAGTTTACGAATAGTCATGTGGGAGTGGGAGGAAAAAATTTCCTTTAACTAAAGATACCAAAGTGAAAAATATTAAGATACTATCTCTTGAGGAAAATAAATTCCACATACAGCTATTTCTAGGAACCGAAAAAATGAATGAGGACATTGTATCTGAATCTGAAACTTTGAATGTTAAGTAAGACTCATCTATTCAAAAATGTTTTATTACCCAGCACACTTAGGACTAAGGTTTCTTGTTTGATTTTTGAGACAGGATCTCGCTCTCTCGCCCCAAGCTAGAATGCAGTAGGGTGATCATAGCTTACTGCAGCGTCAACTTCCTAGACTCAAGTGGTCCTCCTGCCTCCTGAGTGTCTAGGACTACACGAGTACATCACCATACCTGGTTAATTAAATTTTATTTTATTGTGAATAGAAGGTCTCACTCTGTTGCCAGGCTGGTCTTGAACTCCTGGCCTCAAGTGATCATCCCACTTCGGCCTCCCAAAGTGTTGGGATTACGGGCCTGAGTTACAACACCTGACCAGGACTAAGTTTTAATGAGACAAAAACTTTGCTAAATATACATAAAATGAGTTAACTGCTTATTTCAAAAGGCCACTAGGCCAATTTAACTTGAGAGGCTTATGGACCCTTTCTGAGAATCTATTCACAAGAAAAGTCCCTTCTCCAGAAAAATGCATACACATGGAAATGTTTGCATATAATTTCAGGGGGTTTCATGGATTTCATGAGGCATACATAAATGTTCTACCCTCAGATTGAAACAATTTGAGATGGGCTGATATGAAGAAGAATGTATTTAGAGAAAGAAGAGTATGAACAAAAAGGTATAAGCAATAGACAAATGGGTTTAGAAATATTGCCGGGCGCGGTGACTCACACCTGTAATCCCAACACTTTTGGAGGTGAAGGCGTTCAAGACCAGCCTGAGCAACATGGCAAGACCTCGTCTCTACGATAAATTAAAAAAAAAAAAAATCAGTCGAGCGTGATGGCACACACCTATGGTTCCAGCTACTTGAAAGGCTGGAAGGGTCACCTGAGCCCAGCAGGAGCTCCGATTCATAAAAAAAAAAAAAAAAAAAGAAAGAAAGAAAGAAAGAAAGAAAGATTAAGTATTCCAGTTGTCCAAAGGATTGGGCATGGATGAGGAATGTTAAAGCATGCTCCTGGTTGACAGACAATATGGACTCCTGGTGGCACTGAGGTGCTCAGATTTAAAACAGAACCAGGTGGCCATGGCTAGGAAAGAAAGTAGTCACCACACTCTGATCTCAGAAAGATGTTATAAAAGTATCACAGGAATGCCTCATGCCAAAACAGTTTCTGTGGTTGATCCCGAGATCAACTTGGCCACCCATTTGAAAGAAACATCTAACAGAAACTTCTGGTTTGGGGCTTGGAAGTCAACCAATCAGAGCTCAGCTGCCCAGACCAAACAGAGATTAGCAGTATCAACTAATCAGAATTCAGTCATACTGACAGATCAAAACAAAGAAAGTTTCAATCCTTCAGTTGCATAAGCGGACCTAATTGAGAACCTAGTCAATAACTTCTATAATACTTGAACTCTCTATTTGTTCTCTGGAATACACCTTTAATTTACACAGAAGGCTGTACCTTCTCTGTTTACAGGTTGTTCACTGGAATAAAATTTCTTTTCTTCAAAGTTCTTTTCAGAGAACTTTTGTTCACAGGAAGTAGTACAGCTGGTTGGGGCCAGGATATCAGAGACGAATATGATTCTAGAAGCCTGATCTGCATCTAGTGTGCCAGAGATGGTAGCCCACTCAAGGTTTTTGAGGAAAGGAAGTAACACAATAAGAGTGGTTATATCATCCAAATGGCTTTAGAAACATAGCATTGCTGGCATAATGCAGAATAGTTTTGAGGATGAAAAGCAGGGAAATCAGTTACGTTCTTGATAATAATTCAGGCTTGTGGTCAAGGCTAAAATTCTAGCAGAGGCATGATTTGGGAAAAATAGGGATGGGAGATATTTTAAAGAAGAGCTGGTAGGATTTAAGAGTTGGCTGGGCACAGTGACACACGCCTGTAATCCCAACACTTTGGGAGGTCAAGGTGAGAGGACTGCCTGAGCCCAGGGGTTTGAGACCATCCTGGGCAGCTTGGAGAGACCTCATCTCTATAATAAATCAAAAACTTAGCTGGGCATGGTGACACGTGCCTGTAGCTCCAGTTTCTTGGATGGGTGAGGCGAAAGGATCCCCTGAGCCCAGCAGGTTGAGGCTGCGATGGCCGTGAGAGTGCCACTGCACTCCTGCCAGGTGACAGAGTGAGACTCTGACTCAAAGAAAACAAAAACAGCTGATTGCAGAAGAGAGTTAAAGCAATGCCAGAGTTTTAAAAATGGGTAATTGGGGTCAGGCGCGATGGCTCATGCCTATAATCCCAGCACTTTGGGAGGCCGAGGTGAGAGAACTGCCTGAGTCCACGGGTTCGAGACCAGTCTAGACAACTTGGCAAGATATCATCTCTACTATAAATTAAAAGAAAAACAAATTAGCCAGGCATGGTGCCGTGTGCCTGTAGTTCCAGCTACTTGGAAGGCTGAGGCGGAAGGATCACCTGAGCCCAGCAGGTCGAGGCTGCGGTGGCCTTGAGTATGCCACTGTACTCCAGCCTGGGTGACAGAGTGACACTCCAACTCAATAAAAAAAAATGGGTAATTGGAAAGCAAGTTTATCAGGGTGTCATTAACAAAGACAGGGAAGTCAGAAGGGGAAATGGTTTTAAGAAAAGGTGTAAACACAAAAGGAGAGTTGAAACAGGAAATAATGGGTGCAAGATTCACTTAAAAAAAAACCATATTGAAGACATTATTTTTTCATGTCTGGTCTCTGATTCAAGTGACACGTACAAACTGAAAATGTAAGCTTTCAGAACACATATTGCTCTAAATGCATAACACACTGGCTGCCAGAAACAGATATGTTGAAAAAGGAAATAAAACCACCTCCTTCAACTAGGACTTCTCAATGACTAAAAAAAACCCAAAAACCCAATTAAATAATAATTTAAAAACACTTTCTATAGCTATTAAAGCAAAGTTTACTGTTCTAATGAATCTGTGTTTAATTTTGCCTTGCCACATATATTCATATTTGTAAAACTATATTACCAGGCCAGGTGTGGTGGCTCAGGCCTATAATTCCAGCACTTTGGGAGGCTAAATTGAGAGGACTGCCTGAGCCTATGGGTTCGAGACCAGCCTCGGCAACTTGGTGAGACCTCATTTCTACAATAAATTAAAAAATTAGCTGGGCATGGTGGCGCGTGCCTGTAGTTCCAGCTCCTTGGAAGATTAAAGTGGAAGGATCACCTGAGTCCAGCAGTTTGAAGCTGTGGTGACCGTGAGCATGCCACTGCACTTCAGCCTGTGAGACAGAGTAAGACTTCGACTCAAAACAGACAAACAAACAAACTACATTTCCTTGGTCATAATGGTTGAGTACAAGTAGGTATTACAGAATGATGTTTGTATGTTCTAATTCTAACTGTTCTTTTATTCCAGGTCATATAGAGTAGTTCAGGCAACTGGAAAAGCATTTGTGAACTACACTGTAAAATAATAAAGGGTAACACAATTAAAATTTAATGATGATGATGATGATTATTGAGTCGGGGTCTCACTGTCACTCATTCTGGCGTGCAATGGCATGAACACAAGGATCACAGCTTACAGC